TATTACTTTTCAATAAAATAAACTGAATTAAGTTTGAATACAAGTTTATTTTAAGCTTTTATATGAATTTCTTTCAGACATTCGAAGTAATTTATTAAGCAGCCTATTTCTTTTAATTTCTGCAAACTTTTTTATGCGGTTTTAAGTTAATTTTAACTCGTTGTTTTGGTTTTATGCGATTTTAGAAAATTACGGAACGTATCCCTACTTTTTCAAGGCAAGTAAAGTCTTTTTTTATGCGAATTTTTTATATGCACTTTTCTGTAGAATGTATCCACTGCATAAAACGAGACCTTACAGTATATATATATAATATTTTTCCAAGACATGCTTAACATGAATTAGTCTGATTTTGTTCAGCAAAAATAATATACAGTAAGACCCCACTTAATGCAGGGTCTTACTGTATGCGTTACAGGATGCGTTCCTAGACAATAAAACGCTAAGCGAAACAGCATTAAATGAGGTCATTTTAACATACAGTAAATAGGGATAGGGGAACATGTGACCAAAAATAACTTAAAATTAAAGTAAAATTTGTTTATTTTTATATTAATTTGTATAATAATATATGTTAAATAACACACAAACATATGAAGACAGAAATGTAAAGTTCATTTTTTGTAATGAAGGTCCTGACTTTCTGAAATTCTTGTTCTTTTGCAATAAACTTATTGTCGCTTTTTCTTTCCTTAAGCAAATGTCAGTAGCAAGAGATTGCATCCTAAATGCCTCATCTTGCTTTTGCACTCCTTTCAAAATCTGGATCAACATATAATTTGATCAACAATTTCAGTTATCTTACCAAACTTTTACTAAGGAAAGCTGTATAGAAATTTTTTGGGTTCTTTGTTTTCAGAATCTCTATTTTCCAGTTCCACATGAATTCCATGTTTTGCCAGTTCTTGAAGGTCATCGTTGTAAGGCTCTCACCAGAAACCTGCTGTAACTCCTCAATATCCTGCTCATCTATATCTCCCAGTCCTGCTATATCAATTAGGTTGAGTTTGGTCAACCTAATGATACAGCAATAGGCTGTTCTCATTGAGAATTCTTGGGTACCTTCAGCCATAACTTCTTCCGCACTCCATTTGTGCATTTATCAGTTAATTCTTGCCAAGTGAAGTCAATATTGCCTATGGCATACATGATGATATATTTTTTCCAAAATTGCACCAAAACAAACATAAATTTAAAAAAGTACACCTTTTTGCCACCCTTTTCTGATTGGTTCGTGTTTGTAAATAATCATATTACAGTAGAGCATCGATTGTCCGAATCAATTGGGGACTCAGGTTGTTCAGAAAATCGATTTTTCGGATAACTGATTATGTATGAAAAAATATCTTAACCTATTCCGTGTTGAAATTCGTTCAAATCCTGGCACATCCTTAAGTACCCTCTCATGGTTGTGCCAGTGCTGCCAGCTAAAACATGTATACCAACAAAATTGGAGTAGCCCAAGACATAGCCAAAGATTGCAGTGCCACAGCACTAGCGGAAATTTAAATTTGCCAACTGGAAAGCTTTTGGTTAATTGACATTTCAGTTGATTGACATTTGGATAAATCAATGCTCTACTATATATACAAATCAACGAAATGCCGCAATAATTTAAATCAGTGTAAATTTTGAGCTTCTTTTAGGCTTTGAGCAGCCCATGTTATATCGAATCAGTGTTAAGCAGGGTCTTATTGTATAACTATTTTTATCTAACTATCAGCTTATCTAACTTACTTTGATGTGCGGAATCACCAGCCAACCAATCTGTTAGGACCCAGGCTGTTTCATCAGTTACTAATTTTGGATACCTAAAAATTATAAAAATATATTACTAAAATTTACAGAAATATATCAAAGATTAGATTACAATTTTTTTTTCATTTAATTGCAAGATTATTAAAATATATAATAAAAAATATTCTAAAGTTATAATTGTCATCTTACTTTATTCATTTTAATTGTCTTTATAATCAAATCTGATTATTATTATTATAATATTATATACAAATACTTTATATTATGAATTTTAAGTACAAATATTATATATCTTCAAAACATTAAGCTAAAATCAGATAAATGAACTTTAATCAGAAATGTTTATATTTCTAAAACAGTTATTGAACTTTTATTCTAGACAAACATAAATATTAAATATAAAACATTCCTAAAAATCATGACATATTTACTTTTATGTTCTTAATATAATCATATTTATCGATTATTACATTCATTAGTAAATAGCATTTGGCTTATTTTGAGTAAAATAGTTCAATTTTTAAAAATCAAAATTATTTTTTCTATCATATATCATAAGCAATCAATAAATGTAATAATGTAGAATTCATGTATTTATTTTTTGATATTTCTGATATACTAAATAAATATTTACATTCATCTCATACATCAATTTTATAAAATAAACAGTTACTTAATTGAATACCTTATATTTTGACCATAACTCTATTATTATTTTGAAATTACTGTTTTTACAGTTAGATAAAATCTTTTAAAAGTAAGCTGTAAAAGTACATTGTTTTTAATTGAGACTATTAAAGGATATTTTTCTTCATAGTTAATTAGCAAATTATTTGTCTGACTAATAAATTTATATTTAATTTTAAAAATTTTATGCTGCGTTGCATTTTTAATATAAACTAATTAAAACAGATTTCAGAGAATAAAAAGTAGTTTTAATGGCTACAAAAAGTATAGTTTAATAAAAGAATTTATGAAAGACTCATTGAGATAAACAAGATGAAAAACATTATAAAAAGTAAAATTAAAATATTCATTATCTGCATGAAAAATGGAATATTAAGAAATATACATAATTACAGTATAATAATTTCATCATCTTTTTTTGTATTATTTTATTCCTTGTAAGCAACTTTTAATAAAAATTTTTAAAATAATATAAATCAAGCTTACCGACACTGTAACAATTTTATCAACAAATTATTTCCCCTGTTTGTTTGCAAGGGCATTGTGTCCCTGAAATTTATAAAATAAAAAATATCAATATAATGCATAGAATTTAAAATAATTTCAAAATAGTAATGATATATAATTATATATGTTTATAATATACACTCATGACAAAAACAGTTATCCACAAAGTAGATATTGGAATCAAATGAAACTTTATTAGGGCAAACTTAATGACAATGATAAAAAGTGATTATCTATATATATATAATCGAGATGGGATGATAATAATAATAATCCACGTTCGTTGGTTAGGCAGAGGCTCACGTTAGAAAAATAGGCCACAGTCTCCCTTGGTTACCGGTGGCGAAAGCAGCGCAGGCCCAAGCATGGCTACTACAATGCCCTCAACAGATGTGAGGAATCAATCTAGCCTTGGTGTTTCTGTGGCAATACATCCACAGATTACAAAGGCTGGAAAATCATGCCAACGGATGAAATGGACAACAGAAATGAACAAGTTTATCGTCCGTACTTACTACACTATCACAAAATTCGAAACAAACATGACAGCATACAGACAACAACTACACCATAGATTCACACAACAATATCCTCACCTCACTGTTACCGAACAAAGGGCTGTCGATCAAAAAAAAAAGAACAATTATACACAACAACCTTATCCCACAAACAACAGGTTGCTGATCAAATACATCAACAGACAGAAACATTTAACATTATTAATGAAGATCATTTAACCTGTCAGGATAATCCAGCAACAAGCATTGTTGCTGGATTATCCTGATATTGATAATAGCAAACATATAACAACTACCAGCAATGATACTACAGGCACTTCCTCATCCATCACTGATAACATAGATATAGATTTAGTTAATACACTCTCACTTATATTTCAGGAAACACTCACTAAATATACAGGCACAGATCCCACACAAAGACCACGAATACCAAAAATTGACACGTCAAAGGTAGTAGGAAAAACACTAAATTATGTAAACACTCACTTACTCCACACTACATCCATTTAATTTCTACACTCTCAGACATTCATACATTAGTTTATGCTGGGGCAGTCACAGTAGTGACACACCATGAACTGAAAATACAATCACAGACAGATACACACAAAACACAATTTTATCACAATCCTGCCTGGCAGAGAAGAATAGAAACACAAATAAATGACATTAGACAGCAATTAGGCAGGCTGACACAATACACTAAAAACAACATAACACCCAAATTAA